CACACACACACACATACCCCCACACACACACACATATACATACACTAACACACACATATACATACACTAACACACACATACACACACACACAGTGCATCCCCCTCCTCACGTACCAGCCTGCTCCGGCACCTCGGGTATATGGTCCCATTTGTCGGGTAGCCGGGTCCCGTTCATGCCCCGCGGGTTGTTGTTGGGGTCACTCCCTGGTCCGCGCCACTCGGACTCGCCCGCGTTGTGGCTGTTGACTGCGACACAAAGAAATCATTGTTATCATCATCATCATCATCATCATCATCATCATCATCATTTCATCCTCAATTTTGATCACCATCATCAACATCATCATCATCATTATCATCATCATAATCATCAACATCATCGTTGTTGTTGTAAGTATGACAAAAACAAGCAACAAAAAAAGTTGATGAAGACTTGGGTATTTCTGAATTTTATGACTTTCTAAAATACGTTCAACGTTTCGCCCTTTTTGGGGCTTCTTCTGAAACGTGATTTTTAAAAAAACCAAACTAAAAACAAACAATACGATGCTCATCACCATAATTAGGAGCCAAATGTGCAACAGATATTGGCGATCATGGTTCTTCTACATTCTTTTCTTTGCTCGAATGCTCTCAAAAAAGCTACTCTATCCTGATCTTTTCCCATCACCCATCTGTTTAGGCTCTCCAAGCAGGTCGCTCTGGGTCTATCCCTGCCTCGTTCGCTTTCAATTTTGCTAGCGAGGGTTACGATGCTCACGGCATTTACGTCTATTCAAGTGTCCCGGAAACTGCATTAATTGACTTTTCCTTATTGTTTTTATCAGCGAGCGGCTAAAAGCCTTCAAAGGGCACCTTACCTTCGAGTGCGACCTCATTTTATTTTAGAAGAAAAAAACCCCCAGTCAAAATTGTTGTCAAAGACGGCCACTCATTATCGGAGAGAAAAATGATTTTCTTACAAAGGTGGGCGTCATGGACAGTGTCATTATAATACAGAAATGTACAAACAGGTAGGGAGTGGGGGGGAGGG